AGAATATTTCAACAGAAATTAAATGATTTGACGTCTGTCACGATCCGAGCATACACCCTCGACATGATCGGCACTCAAGAACCATTACTGGTCCCCAAGCGAACCCTCATCCTGGTTGACTACAAGCGGAAGACTAACTTAAGCATGCAAAAGTTAAAAAAATGAATAAAATTCATTCAACTCAAAAGAAAACTCAGAATGATATAATGTATTCAACTCGCCATAAAATAGACAACTTAAGTTTTTAAAACATTTAATAAAATAAATGAACAGACTTCTAAAACTCTACTGTCTATCTATGAAGACTCTAAATGACAAAGATGGAAGTCGGGACACAAGACCCACGACCTCCTAACAACTGAAAGTAAATGGAATCCTCCGGAAGCAAGGAAACTCACCATAGTTAACTCAAACTCCATGTAGTATCAATAAAACTCTCTTGTTGATGATCCTGAATATATGTATAGGTATTTAGTTGCCACTAAAACATTCATTTAGTGGCGACTTTTATAGGTATTAGTGGTGACAAATGTTACCACTAAAAGAGGCTTTTCGTGGCGACTTTTATAGGTATTAGCGGCGACTAATGTTGCCACTAAAAGAGACTTTTCGTGGCGACTATTATAGGTATTAGCGGCGGCTAATGTTGCCACTAAAAGAGTCTTTTCGTGGTGACTACTATAGGTATTAACGGCGGCTAATGTTGCCACTAAAAGAGTCTTTTCGTGGCGACTACTATAAGTATTAGCGACAACTAATGTTGCCACTAAAGAGTCTTTTCGTGGCGACTATTATAAGTATTAGCGGCGACTAAAGTTGCTCACATAAGAGTCATTTAGTGGCGACTTTTATATGTATTAGCGGCAACTAATATTGGCACTAAAAGTGACTTTTCGTGGCAACTATTATAGGTATTAGCGGCGACAAATGTTGTTACTAAAAGAGTCTTTTAGTGGCGACTTCTATATGTATTAGCGGCAACAAATGTTGCTACTAAAGAGTCTTTAGCGGCGACAATTGTTGCTACTAAAGAGCTTTTAGTGGCGATTTTTATTCGTATATTAGCGGCGACTAATATTGCCACTAAAAGAAACTTTTCGTGGCAATTATTATAGGTATTAAAGGCGACAAATGTTGCCACTGAAAGAGTCTTTTAGTGGCGACTGTTATAGGTATTAGCGGCAACAAAAGTTGCCACTAAAAGAGTCTTTTAGTGGCGACTACTATAAGTATTTGCGGCAGATATTGCCACTATAACAGTTTTTAGTGGCGACCTTTATAGGTATTAGCGGCGACTAATGTTGCCACTAAAAGAGACTTTTATATAATTCTTTGCAAATTTCACAGAAATTTAGTGTTATGGAATTTAGAAAATAATACTTAAAACTTATTAGTTATTTAAACTAAAACACTACAAAGGAAAATAATAAATATAACGTTTTATCATTTATCCTTCAATCAATTATCTTTAATTTAATTTTATAATTTATCATTTTGCTTCCAAGTGTTATTATTTGATATTTTTGAGGAATCAAATGTATCAACCGGTAATATTAAATATTCTAATAAATAAATAATCATTGGTGAAGAGATAAATAAATTGTAAAAGGTTGGAAAAAATGAACAAATATTCTAATTCTAACGTGTAAAAGTTTAGTCCTACTATTTGCTTTACATATATCATTTTAAAGTTCTCATTAAAATGTATCATAAGTAATTATTAAAATGAAAATTAAAGGGAGAATGTATCATAACGAACAACAATTCAACGTATTATATATATTTGAAAGAGAAAATTATTACACAAAACTATTCAGTTTGTTTTAGTGTTTTTTAAAAATCAACATTCCAGAGTGATGAAGTTCAATTTGAAACTACATTTTCTATTTCAATCACAGTGTCAAAAACACATCTATTACTTCAAAAAAATATTTACAACCTGCAGTAAACTTGAGAAATTTGTCCATACTTCATATTAAATATGAACAATTAATTTATTGTGTAGTTATCTATTTCTTTGGGATTAAAAGAGACTGCAGTCTAGTCAAAATCCTCTAGAGGTCATCCGGCACATCCTTGAAGTTATGTCAAAAGTTTATTAATTTTTGTCTTATTTTCCTGGTTCACTTTGCACATCAAGGTGCGATAAAGTTTTTAAGATCTTTATGTGTTTACTCATAACAAATTTGAATTTTATTTTCAAGATATGGCAGTACAGATCTTTAAGGAATTCTTTTACTCTACTTTCAACAATTTTAGTAGAGAAAACTTGCATGAATACTCAATTAACGTGTGTTATTTAATCTGTACTAACAAATACTTATAACAATAATTTTGCAGAAACATAAACAATAAAGTTTAAAAGATATACTTAAAAACAATAATTAATAAAATAAGCATAAATTAATGATGTAAAATAAAATTATCAGGATTTGTAACAATAAAATGAAACAGAAAGGAAAAAATCGAGCCCACTAAATGAATAGTGTACCCTTAAGAAAATTATTCTCCTCTAGTACCCGAGATTTAAAGGAATAGATCCTCTCAGGATAGGACAATTCTATTCACCAGTATATTAATACAAAAAACAATGGTGAAGTGAGTCACTCAACAATAGCAAAATACAGAATATTTAATTGTGCAAAAGAAGAAGAAGAAGTAGTTCGGAATTTTCGTTGTTTTGAAATGAGAGGATATCCCTCTATTTATAAACAACAAAGGGTAGTGTGAACAAATATTTATTGTGCCTTATCAGAAAGGTCACAACCTTTCATAAAAGTCACAACTCTTCATAAAAGTCACAACTCATCAAAAAAGTCGCAACTTTTCATAAAAGTCACAACTTTTCATGAAAAGGGAAAGCTAGTTTTGGAAATAAATAAATTAAAAGGGAATCCTGGATTCTGATGGCGCCACGTAGGCGGGCCTAAGATTTTCTTTATATATATATATATATGACTTTTTATTAATTATGAAATTGATTAACGATATTATTAGTTCACTTGACAATGGAATATGTCAACGTATATGTAAAAGAAATAATCAAAACCGCGTAGCTTTTATTTTCTTCAAACAAACAAAAATCAAACTTTGCATATGTAGTAGGGACTTCAAAATTCAAAAAGTCTAGGCAACACTAAAGTTAGTAGGGTCCAATTTTTAAAAATAAAAATTTAACAAAATGACTATAAAGAAAATTGTGAAAATGATCTATTATGATTATTTACAAATTAAATAGGAAAAAAATGATTTTTTTTTTAAAAAAATATGTGAAAAAATGAAGAATATTTTATAAAAAGTGCATAAAACTAAAAATAAACTTATAAAAGAATGCAAAAATACCAAATCATCTCGAGAAAATGAGATCTCTTGTGTATTTACAATTCTAATAGAAAAAAAAGGACATAATATACATAATTGACTCGACTTCATTTCACATTTATGCCCACCAATTTTAGGTGTGCACAAGTAGACACTTTAACTTGTATAAAATAGAACAAGTAAACACACGAGTTCTATGTGACATAATACATATAGAACACCACGTAGGATGAAAATTGTCACGTAGGATGTCACATAGGACACATGTGTTTATTTGTACAACTCTATACAAGTTTAAGTGTCTACTTGTGCGCATCCAAATTTGGAGGACATAAATATGAGCTGAAATCAAATTAAAGAGCATATTTATGTATTATGTCAATACAATCTTTTCAGATATCGTATAAAAATAAACATTTTTTTCAACCAATGACATTAATTGGTAATAGTTATGTGATGTGAGTCTTGTGACCATAATTAGCATTTATATATTATGACAAACACGTCTAGCTACTTACATACATCAAAACACAATTTATTTATAATATCAAGAAATGAACAAGGTTTCTAGTCTTTCTACTTTCTATTTTGTTCTTATAAATTTTCTTATTATATCATGGTGTTTACAAAGTGAAGCCAGGATGTTCTTGGACATGGAGAACTTGTCCTCAATCAAATTCAAAGGTGTTATACGAGGTTGCAGTAATCGAGAAACTCCGATTATAATCAACCCTTCGCCAACAGCAAATACTCGTGATCATGTGTATGTATCTAATTATTAATTAAGAGACACTTATTCATCGTTTTTTAAATTAATTTTTTCGTTGCTGTTTTATCATAGATTTATCTAACATATTTACATTTTTACTGTTCACGCAGTGACTATACTCCACCACCGTTGATAAGTAAATAGGAGAGCTCGTGAAGAAACAATTGAATATTTTACTATGATTGGGCCAGGTGGCGCGCAATCGCTATAGACTATTGTGTAATTTTACTGTGTATTTTTACCTTTGTTGTCTTGGTTTCTTTTGTTGGAATTGCTTTATTTTTAATTAATCAGTATGGAATCGAAGAAATTATCCTAGAAAGAGATTAAAGTGAAAATAAATGATAATTCTTTGTATTATATTGAATTTTGAATATAGATTCAAATAGAAAATCGTATCACTATTTATAAGCAATTAAAAGGAAAGTATATGTTATTTTCCTTACAGATATTAAAATAAAAGAAAAATAAATATTTTACAATTAATATAAATTCTAAACTAGAACAAAAGAAGTAAATACTCCACATATATATATATATATATATATATATATATATATATATATATATGATATAAAATTCTTAAAAATTACATATCAAAGCAAACCATTCACATCTTATCTTGTAGTGGTCATAATTTTCTTCATGGTTCAAACAAACAGTCCCTTAATTAAAATAGTATTATTGTCTTTGCGCCGATAATATATAATTTATGAATATCGACTGTCGTTGTCTTATTTGACCACACATTTTTCATTCAAAACATAAGTGTTTTGACTAAAAATTATAATATGAATTTGGTAAAGTCCAACAACGCGCAATAAAAATAGCCAAATGGGTACTTTAAGAGGTATGTATATAAATTACAACTCCAAAATATCAAATCACAAATACACCAAATTTCTCAATTTAACACAAACATTAGTTGTGTGTGGCATACAAGGTCTAAGGGCAAAAAAAATGAAGAAAATTTGTACTAGTATATTTAATTTTCTTGTAATATTTCTTATTTTATCATCGTGTACGCAAAGCGAATCGAGGATATTAAACTTGTCCGATTTCATAGAGACGACTCAGGTGCGAGGTCGCAGCATCAGGCAGACTCTCAAACCCAATCCTTCTCCAATGGCAAATGGTCACAGCTATCAGTACGTATAGACCTTTTTTTGAATATCTAAATTTTAGTTTTAAAATGTTACGTTGATCTAATTCATTTAACTAGTTTCAAATATTAGTTAAATTTAACGATCAAGAAGTGAAAAGTACTAAATAAATTAAAATAAAAATAGTACTTTTTTAAATAAAAATTTCTAACATTAAATTATTATTTTTGTGTTTAATGCAGATTTAGAAGTCCACCTCCCATGATCATGAAATAAGGAAGAAGGCTGATCCTGAATTTGATGATTTTGTAGTTTTGTTCCTTTTTTTTGTTTTTCGGAACGTACTGTTTCTAAATGATTTTTAATGATAATAATTAATGAATATAATTCTGTCTTTTTTTTTCTTTAATATTATAGCAATTTAAAAAAAAATATATACATAAAGGTAACATATTCACCTCTACAAGATCTGTATTTCCTAAATTATGTATACATAATAAATATTTAACAAAGCAGACCAGCACTTTTTCTTCATTAATATCCGTTATATAAGGATACATCAAATAGAAAACTTACATACATAAAAAAATAATCACAATATAACTGAACACAATATTATAAGTTCTCATCGCACCAACAGGGTACACCATCAATTTCGAGTCCAATGCATCATAATGATAATATGATGGATTTGAGTCTGTTGAATTATGACCTAACATGTTAATTCCTTCATATGAATAAGACGTTAGGTTCAAATCTCAATATGCGTGTATGATATAATAATGATTGAGCAAATCAATCAACTTTTAATCATAATATAATAGGTGACCATGAGGTTGTTCCTTCCTTAACTAAAGATTTCGAGTTCAAGTCCTGAATATAATAAAATCCTTGATAGAAAGTATTTCCCCAAATGAGACCCTACGCGACGCGAATCTGAAATGATAGGTGCATTGGGCCTTTTATTTTTCTCCATTCACACATAGAGGTTTGACTAAAACTTATAAGTTTGCCACAAGTACAACAACGCATTATTGAAATATAGACATTTTAGAATAATACTTTATATATTAATAATAATTCCCAAGTGTGAGTCTTCTTCCTTTCAACTACAAGTCTACAATCCATATATCTCAAAAAGACTCAATTTTAAAATGAAGAAAATTGCTACTACTTCATCCAATTTCCTAGTAATATTTCTTATTTTATCATTATGTATGCCAAGCGAATCGAGGAACTTAAACTTAAACTTAAACTTGTACTTGTCCTCAACTGTCAATTTCAAAAGTCGCAGTAATAGAGAAATCCCAAATAAACTATATCCTTCACCTATACCAAATCTTAGTTATCGACAGTACGTATTTTGTTACTATAATTATTTTTTCGTACTTATATTGTTTTAATGAAAGAAGGTTTCTAATAGTAAATTAATTTTCTTGATGGCATACAGGGTTAGGCCGCCGCCGCCGCCCATGATAGAATAAGGAAAAAGCTAGTAGAATCAAAACCGGGAAACATTTTTGAAGGTGCGGTATTGAATCAGAGTCTTCAGTTAGGATTTTGAATTTATGAATTCTCGTATCTTAAGAATGTGAGCTTATTGAATTCTTAAAAAATTATTTATATATAAAATATAAAGATTGAACAAAATTTTATGGTTTCTATGAAACTCAATTTCCTATATTGAATGATATAAGTATACATTTTTATATGTACTTGGTACTTTTTATGTAATTTTAGAGACGGGTGAACATAACCCTTTGTAATTTGAATAGGGGGGAATTTTTATAAAGATCTTTTTTTTTTGTTATTTTTATATTAGTGAAATTGACCATAAAAACATATTTAAATTTATTATATTATCTATTTTATTAAATTGAAATATTTTTTAAACAATATATATTTGAGTTAATTCATAAATATGAATTATTTTTAAAAAATATATCACGATATACGTAGTGTATGTGCATTTTTGCTGCGGGATATATATATATGTATATATGTCACGATCCGAAAACTCGAGTCATGATATCACATACCATAACTCATTAGTAGGTAAGTTGATATATATCCCAGAACGACAAGTAACATGCATATTTGGTAGAAACAATAATCAACGAGAAATTTTTAAACACAAACACTAGATACACAACAAAAAAGTGAAGAACAATAATATATACATACGAAAGTCAGAAGTACAAGATCCAAACTCACGACCTAGTGGACATCAGTACAAAGTTATTATACTAGTACAAGTCTCAAAAGTGGATCAAAAGTATAGACTTGTCTCGAAAACAAAAGACTAGCCAAAAATTATATACAAAAAGAGATAGGTTGAACTAGGACGCCATCAGCTCACCCTCAATCTCCGAAAACTGCTGGCGCTAGGATCTACATCAAGGAAACATATATAGAATGTAGTATAAGTATTGAAACAATAGATAGCCAGTAGACATCATAGATCAATTGAACTTGAAAAATAAAGACGATATGTAAAGCGAGAAAGTAACAACAACTAGAGGTCATACTTTTCTTCTTGTTTCAAACAACAGTCCCTTACACCTTATTTTGATGATTGATAATTTAAATATAATGCTTCTTTTGATTATTACTTAATCATATGTTTGTTCAATTACCTAATTTTTTCAGTAGAAAAGAATATGATAGTAGTGCACAATTGTTTGTCTAATTTTTTATTCTCCACTCACACTAGTGGTTTGACTCAACTTATGAGTTTGCCACAGCCCACAAGTGCAACAACGCGTTATTAAAAAAATATGGATATTATAAAGTAATATATTAACAAATCCGAAATATAAGTCTTCTCCCTTTCAACTACAAGTCTATAATCCATATATCTCAAAAACATTCCATTTAAAATAAAGAAAATTGCTACTACTACACTCAATTTTCTAGTAAAGATTTCGCAAAGAAATCGTCCGAAAGTCATATCACCAAAATATTCATGGGCTAACACATATGAAAAACTGAGAAAATCGCCTAATTCCTATGAATTGTCTCCTAAATGCCCAAAATGGACTCTAAAAGTTATGAGACTTATGTAATGTTCCCCCAACTCCCTACAGAGGGTTTCGTAAAGGTTTCACAATTAAATCATCCGAAAGTCATATTACCAAAATATTCATGGGCTAACACACGAAAAATAAGAAAATCCCCTAATTATTATAAATTTACCCCTAAATGTCTAAAATATACTCTAAAAATTGTGAGACTGTATGTACTGGTCTCCCAACTCCCTATGGAGGTTCTGTAAAGGTTTCTCCAAAAATTGTCCATAAGGCACATCACCAAAATATTCATGGGCTAAAACACACGAAAAATTGAGAAAATCACCTAATTTATGTAAATTGGTCCCTAATTGCCCAAAAAGGACTATAGAAATTATGAGACTGTTTGTACAGTTCCCCCAACCCCATACGGTGGGTTCCTTCAAGGTTTCACAAAGAAATTGTCTGAAAGTCGTATCATGAAAATATTCATAGACTAACACACACGAAAAACTGGAAAAAAAAAAACTGTCTAAATTCCTATTAATTGGTGGCCCTAAATGCCCAAAATAGACTCTAAAAAATTGTCTAATTCCTATTTTATGTGTGTTTTTCCACACACAAAATATCTTCTTCTTCTTTTTTTCAAGTTAAATGCATGTCTAAATATAATTTCAACTTTTACAAAAAAAAAATTCAAATATCACAATTTTATATCCTAACACCTAATAAGATCTGTCTGTCATCCTAGCTGCTTCTTGAACATTATCACAATTAGGGCTCATTTGGTAGGAGGGATAAAAAATAACTAATTTCGGAATTAATTTAGTTAGAGTATATCACGTGTTTGATCGGGATAAAATCTTGAAATTAGTTATCTTAAGATTAATGTAATGTTATTTTTATTTCACATCAAGAGTAGAATAACATTAATCATGAAATAGCTAATTCCAAAATAATTAATTCCGAAATAACTTATATCCAACCAAACAAGCCATTAAAGATCTCAACATCCTTTTTACATCTATTCTAAAGGACTAAATATCTTTTATAAAACATATTAATATAGTGATTAAATACAATAAAAACAAGATAAAGAATGAGTTATTATATCGTCAAGTCATCTTTATTATTATTTGTTATAAAAGGTAATTGTTTAATTTTCAAAATTATAAACCATATATTTTAAAGATGTTTGGTTGTAAATACCTTTATGAGATTCGACAATATCTTTTTATTGACAACGTATTTAACTCAATTTTAAAAAAAAAATGAAAACTAAAAATAACATTATGTAGCATAAGTTAGTAGACTTTTCAAATGAAAAAAAAAGTAACTAAACTTGGTCAAATTTTTCAGACTCAATTTAGGATAGAATATTATGCACTCCATTAGTCACAATCGTGGGTTCCCTTAACAAAGAAAAAGAAGGGGAAACGAAGAAAAAAAGCAGAAAAGATCGACTTTTAGGGTGTATTCAGAGGAAAAATAACTGAAAATGTTTTTTTAAAAATGGGAAAAATGATTTCTAATTTTTCGTATCAAAGTCAAAGACTTTGACATTACACTAGGTAGGGTGATTATTTAAATCTGTTCTGGCTTTTGTGGATAGAGTTATCTGGTAGCTGTTGCTGGTGGGAGGTACCATGTATGTCCTGACGAAAGGAGTATACGCCATGTGGCATAAGCAAGTATGAGTCCACTACTATCTATGTAACTGATTATTATATTCATTAGTTTGACGTAAACACTTGAAGTGAATAAGTTTCGGTCCCTCTCGTGGAATGACACTTGCTATAAAAAGAACTTATTTGGAGGCCAAGTTTATATAGTTTTTGTGAGGAAGAGGAGGAAATTAAGCATGCCTATCAACAAAGGCACAACATGTGTTTTGTTAGTGATGATTTTCTTTGTGTTGTCCATGAATTCTTGGTGTGAATATGGTGAAGCGGCAAGAATATTCTTAGACTTCTCTACAAGTACTCAAGGTGTTATATCTCTTCCTTTTTTATCATTACTCTTGATCTCTCTTCGTATGAAACTAAACTTCAAATTCTGAATCTGTCTGTGATCTTGAACCAAAATTTCTTCACATGAGTACTAAAGTATAGTATGTATATGTGTTTTTCTATACCTTTTTGATGTGTTGAAATTATAATGGCAGCGACACAAAGGATGGACTACGTGGGCAGCAGCCACCGCCGGAGCACCAGGGCATCGCCCAGTGGGGGCTATCCTTCCCCGGCAGCAAATGTGAATGACCATGTACATCACTAGTGATGAATCTCTATTTTGTTGTGGACTTAATTCTCATTTGATTATATAATGAGACTTTGTTTGATTGTATTTGTGTTTATGCTATTTCTGCTATTTCTATATAAAGCAACGAAAGTAAACTTTAACTAGGCCTGTCTTTCCCATGATCAGAGATCTCGAGTTCAAATTCTGATAATAGAAAAATCTCTGAGTGAAAACTCCCTCCGTCTTATTATATGGATAACTATAGAGGGAAACGTATACTAACAACATGAACAGAGTAAATAAAAGGATGTAGTACTTCATACTTTTCTCGAGTTAACATAATTATATTCAACTTTCAAGAACACAAAGCAATTTTTTTGGTTCATTGACTTTTGATCACCAAAGAAACTCAAAAAGTCACTTGAAGGAGTGCGAAATTCCTTTTAACTCATGGTTGTTTGGCAAAACAAATAAAAATTAGAGGAATCCAAGTTTCACCATCTTAGATGATGGTACCACTGGGAATTACTGCATCCTCGATAACAGTAACAATTTCGCTCTTAATAAAGTATCTGTCTGACTCCCTTGCTGCTTCTTGAATTTCATGTTAGAGACTCGATCTCACAGCTCATGTATATTGTCGAAAATAAGAAGGAAAAATTTGTGTGATGACAAGAGAAGTCAGCACACTTACGACTATATGTTGCCTAGAAGTTAGAACACTAGGTACATATATTGAGTGAATGAGATTTTCATCAAACATAATAAAAGTTGAGGGGTAATAAGAAATTGATTAGGTAGCCAACCTTCACATTGTCCCCTATACGAGCATTCTTGTCGATAATAACTCTTTTTGTGTGACAATTCTTGCCGATGCCAATTGGAACACTACCCTTTGCATACAGAAGCATTTTGTCATCATTCGTCTGGATGTGAATGCATTAATTCCAACATAAAGGTATGAATGCATTAATTCCAACAGAATGATCGTACAAGCTTCAGGGAAATTTAAGACAATAATATTAGTGCTATGACCATAGCACAATAATAGACTATCGTAATTAAGTACAGAAAACTATTAGTTGACGTTACCTAATATATGATGCTGACTTTTCTGTAATGCCCAAATTGGCATGGTAGAAAGACCTCTACTAGTAATAATACTAAGCAAAAATCATATTCAGTACAAAAAAGTTTAAACTAGAAGCTAGCCACAGTAAGGCCTATAATCTATGTTGCTCAGACACTTCAAAAATGACCATGAATGCATGTCAGATACTCCAAAAGTAATACATTATGGAGAATGTGACACGTATGGCAACAATTTTGGATAGTTGAAGCAACATAGCTTATAACTACTATAGTACTATGGAAAGTAAAGTTTCGTACAATTCTTAGGAGAAAAAAAAGTAAATTTATTCTAGTTTTTGTGATTAAAATTGTAAATGTTAATGATTGAACAATCTACATACTCGCATCAAAACAAAAGTTTCACCGAAATAACTTCACAACCAAAGTCTTGTTCTCTTTAGGTATGTCGTCCTCCAGGCCTAAAATAGTAGTATTCACCTGAAAATGCACCAAACACAAATTAAATTCTTTGGGAACGAGTTATATGTACCATCTATTTGGGTATGTATCTTTGTTCATGTATATATATATATATATATATATATATATATATGCAATGTGTATTTGTTGAGAAGTATGCAAAAGGACTATAACATGTTACCTGAGTTGCTTTCAACTGCTTCTATTTTGGTTCTCCGCAAATTCAATCATACATACTTCTTCATCAATCTTTCATTAGACCAAATGAAGAAAGATCTTTTATTAAATTCGCAGAAAAACCAATTGAAAAGCAGTTAAAAACAATGCAGGTAACGTGCTATATATATGCATATATACACACTTTCCATCCATTGAAAGTGTAGCAACGATAATATCAGCCTCGGCTTCTTTATGGGTTAGAATGAACTTTTCATAATCCACTCGGTACAAATGAGGCCTTGAGCTATACTAAGGCAACAATACTCAAAGAGCTTATATTTATTTATATTCGTTAGTTATTTTTCAAGTTTACAAAAGCATAGTTATTTGTTGCAAAACACTATCTTGGATTTTGTTATCAAAAATTTATTGACAAACATAAATTGCTACTAAAATATTAGCTAAATCTCTGAAATATTAGGCCAAGTTCTTGACAAATTAAAGGTATAACTAAGTTCTGACTGTTGTTTGAAATGAAAATTAAAGGGAAAAAAATACGTATATACTGCTACTGAAGTGGGTTTATTGAAGATAATCTTAGAAAAAATATATAGTTGAATCTAGATAGAAGACTCTACAAATGATACTTATATTAAAGCTCACCTAATACACACATTTGTATAGCATAATATTCATTATATAGCAATATTAAGTTGGGAGGATTGAATAGTCAGTGTATAATTTATGTATAATCAGTATATACTTCATGTATAATTAAGCTATATTCAGCTTTTTGAATATATCATAATATATAGTCAATATATAGTTCATGTATAGGTAAGTTATATTCAACTTTTTGAGTATATCATAATATATAGGTAGTATATATTTTCTATCACCTCTTGCTATTTTTCATGCAAATAAAAATACAGCTATGTTTGTCGTAAACTAATTTACTTTATCGTATAGATTCAAAACTATCCTTATATTCTTTCGTCTAAGAGTTGTCTGATATTTAAATATTCGTGAAAAAAAACATAAAATGGATATTACATTAATGGGGTGGACTAAAATAGGACATCCCATAATTATTTTTTTTGGAAAAAGCTCAAATATGTCATCTAACTTTGAGAAAAAACTCATTTATGCCATTTGTTAAAAGTTTGGCTCAACTATGCCATTTTCGCTTGAAAAAAAGCTCATCTATGCCATTATTTGCTAACTGAAAACAATTTCGATCTTGCAAAATCATTTCTTACATGTAGTCAATTATGATTCGGTCACATCACTAATTAATTCATTTTTTAAAGGGATGGTTTTTAATATATTTGGCTTACATTTGAAATGTCTTTATTAATTTCTTATTATTCGTATCAAGTCAAAAACTTTGATATAAAATGGGACGGAAGGAGTAAAGAAAGTACGAGTCCATCATTGTCTATGTAACAACTGATTATTATTTTCATTAGTTTGATATAAACACCTGATACGAATAAGTTCTGTGTCCGTCTTTTGGAATAAGACTTGCTATAAAAAGGTAATCAAGTTTATATAGTTTTTGTGGGGAAGAGGAGGAAATTAAGCATGTCTATCTACAAAGGCACTACTACATGTGCTATATATGTTAGTTATGTTTTTCTTTGTGTTGTCCATGAATTAATTCTTGGTGTAAAGCAGCAAGAATATTCTTAGACTTCTCTACTAGTCCTCAAAGTGTTACCTCTCTTCCTTTTTATCATTACTCTTGAAACTAAACTTCAAATTCTGAATTCATACTAAAATTTCTTCACATGAGTATTAAAGTATATTATGTGTATGTGTTTTTGGCAGCGAATGTGAATGACCATGTGATAAATCTCTATTTTGTTGTGGACTTAAAATAGAGATTTCAAATATGAAGCAATGAAAGTAAACTTTAACTAGGCTTGGGATTAGAGATCTCGAGTTCAAATTCTGATAATAGAAAAATTCCTCTCTCCGTCTTATTATCTATATGTATATGGATAACGATAGAGGGAAACGAATACTATACTAACACGAACGAACAGAGAAAATAAAATGGAGTAATTCATATTTTTTTCGAGTTAACATCCTAATTATATTCAACTTTCAAGAACACAAAACAATTTTTTTGGTTCATTGACGATCACTCACTTGAAGGAGTGCAGAAGTCCTTTTAACTCATGGTTGTTTGGCAAAATAAATAAAAATTAAAGGAATCCAAGTTTCACCATCTTAGATGATAGTACCACTGGGAATTACTGCATCCTTGATAATGGTAACAATTCCGCTCTTAATAAAGTATCCGTCTGACTCCCTTGCTACTTCTTGAATATTGTCAATATTATTGATCTGACGATACAAAAGTTCCATGTTAGAGACTTGATCTCACAGATTGGTTTGAAAAATTTATGTGATGACAAGAGAAGTCAACAGGACACTATATATATATGCTACCTAGAAGTTAGGTGAATGAGATTTTCATCAAACATAATAAAAGTTGAGTGGTAATAAGAATTACTGATCAGGTAACCAACCTTCACATTGTCCCCTATACGAGCATTCTTGTCGATAATAGCTCTCTTTATGTGACAGTTCTTGCCGATGCCAATTGGAACACTACCCTTTGCATACAGAAGGATTTTGTCATCATTCGTCTGGACCAAGAAAGGAAGCAAACTGAGTTTAACAACAAACCAAAAGAAGTATGAAGAAAATATCTTTCATTTTTTTTAAAATTTTCTACATGCTATCTATCTCGCGTATATACAAAGTAAGTCTATTAGTCATATAGTTTGTGAATTTTAACTATTACCTCATAATAATCTGCTCCCATCAAAAGAGTGTCTTCGATAATTGTTCCTGCTGAAATGCATGATCTGAGTCCAATCACAGAATGGTGAATTTTACAGTTCTGTAAACAACAAAGTAACTCCATGAGAACCATAATCTGACAAGTATGTACTGGTTCACCAATTCTAGGAACATGAAAATTAGAAGACCTTGTTGGTGAGAAACAGTTACATAATTAATTACCTTTATGACACACCCTTCTCCAATGACACTATCTGTTATATCAGCATCAAGCATCTTTGAAGGAGGCAAATATCGAGGTTGGGTGTAGATTGGAGCTGAACGGTCATAGAAGCTTCAGAGAATATTGAAGATAACAATATTAGTGCTTACGACCAGAGTAGAACAATAGACAATCGTAACTAAGTGGAGAGAAGTATTAGCTGACGTTACCTAAAATCTGGCACTGGCTTTTTTGTAATGCCCAAATTAGCATTATAGAAAGCTTCAATGGTACCAATATCCTCCCAGTAGTCATCAAATAAATAAGCTTGCACCTGAACTTAGACTATTAAGACCTCTACAAGTAAAGCTAAGCAAAAATCATATTTAGAAAAAAGTTTAAACTAGAAGCTAGTCACAATAAGGCCTATAACCTATGTTGCTCAGACTCTTTAAAAATATCAATGGATGCATGCCAGATACTCCTAAAATAGTACATTTTGGAGAGTCCAACACTGGTATAGCAACAATTATAACTACTAGAGTAATGTCGAAGTAAAGTTTCATACAATTCTCATGAGAGAAAAAGTAAATTTCTAATAGTTTTTTGTGATTTTAAAACTATAAATGGTAATGAATAAAGAATTTACATACTCGCATTCCAATGGAAGTTGCACCAGGAATAACTTCACTGCCAAAGTCATTAGCTGCAGGAAAGCTTAACCGAAGTAGGTTTAACATCACATCTTTGCTAATGACATATATACCCATACTTGCAATATAAGGGTTCTCTTTAGCTCTTTCATCATCAAGGCCTAAAATAGTAGTATCCACCTGAAATGCACCAAACACAAATTATATTCTTCCAAGAAACGAAATATGTGTCTTTGTTCATATATGCAATGAGTATTTGTTGAGAAATATGCAAAAGCACTATTATAGCATGTACCTGCATTTCTTTCAACTGCTCTCCGTTGGGTTTTTCCGCGAATTCAATGATGCGTCCTTCTTCATCAATCTTCATTAGACCAAATGAAGAGGCACGCTTTTCATCCATCGGAAGTGCAGCAACAGTAATATCAGCATCTGCTTCTCTATGGGCTAGAATAAACTTTTCATAATCCATTCTGTACAAATGATCTCCCGCAAGTATTAGGAATTCCAAAACATTATGCTCCTCAAACAACCATAAATACTGCCTGACCGCATCAGCAGTGCCCTGAGAGACAAGTAATTTCATCTTACGCTAGTTTGCAAAAAAAAACTAGTTAACCAGCTATACTAAAATGCATGTCACAAGTAAATCAGAGGAGTCGAGCACAAACAGTAACGTTAAAGTGGCTTCAAACATGCTATATACTTGTCGGATTGATATCTATCTCTAGGTTATAATATTTTAAAAAAGGACAGTCTGATGCACAAAGCATCCCGCTTTAGCAGGGTCCAGGACAGGCCGCACTCCAAAGGGTGTGTGAGGTAGACAACCTACCCCAATTCAAGCATTAGTGGCTACTTACACAGCTCAAAGCCAGAGACAACTTTGTCGTTACTCCAAGGCTCATTTTCAAATCAAATAACTACAAATTTAATGTTGTTAAAAAGTGTACATTAGGAAGAAGGTTAGGTACCTGAAACCAATCAGGGTTTTCTGGACTTTGCTGAGCAGCGAGAACTTCCACAAAACCTTCATTTTTGTAACTACCCATGTTACTTGCATAAGCTCGTGAAAGATGGCGATTTAGAGATGCAGAGTTGAATTGTGTGAGAACATAGATCTTGGATATGGTACTGTTAATACAATTGCTCACAGGAATATCAATCAGACGATAATTTGCTCCAAGCGGAACAGCCGGCTTTGCTCTCTTTTTGGTTAGAGGATACAGACGCGTCCCAGCTCCACCTCCAAGAATAATACCCAAAACACTCTGCAACAAATTGCATTAACAATATATTTAGTTAGTTACTCTATTCAGTAAAGCATGATTAACCAGAAAACTTTCGTTAAGAAACAATTCTGTGTTATATTAAACAAAATCAAGTTATATAATTATACATTTATCAATATGTACGTGAGGGTCTATATCAAGATCTGGAATCATGAACAGAGCAATTAAACAACTTCAAACTGAAGCAAACAAACACCATATATATCGATTGGACCACCAGAATCAAACGTCCCCTCAATTTAACAATTAATCAGTTCAACAAAATACTCTTTCCGTCCCTGATCCATTTTCCTTTTTAGTATGTCTTCAAAAGGAATGTCACCTATGATTAGAAAAAAGTTATTTTAAAATTCTCTGTTAACCTGATTATACTCATACAAATGTGCCAAGACCACAAATTTCAAAACTTTTATTTTCTTAAATATTATGCCTAACAAACATTGTCACATAAATTGAGACGGAGAAATTGCAATATTTACCTTTTCACTGACAACAGACATGTATACAAAAAGAAAAGTTTACACAACCCATACACTTTTATATGTTAATTTGTATAATTAAAATTTTCAAAATATATTGAATGCCGATTCAATTTAATATATAATTTGCAAAACTAGTGAGAAACATGGAGAAGAAAAGAGGTTAATTTTGCACTAACTCGGCTAGCTTCTGGATCAAGACATGTTTGTGAATTTGACGAGTCAGAAACAGCTTTAGGCGACACGATAATCGCAGCCCTGCTATGATAGGCTTTCTTACTAGAAATGAATCGTCTAGAACGCAATGATTTAGATGAGATCAATTTGCCGCCGGATAAATGTGATGATGCAAAAGAGAGACTTTGAAAGGACATTGCACTATCAACATTATCGATTATAGAATGCTGAAAAGGTTTCAATGTTCCTATAGATGCCGACATTGTTACACCACTGTCTACCCTTCTCACTGTCTACTCTTTTTAGAAAAGTGAAATATGAAAAGGATAAGTTCTACTCAATAACAAGTCAATATAATATAATCATTAACCTAAAACTAAAACTTAAAAAGATTTTTTAAAAGACATAAAAACTTGATCTGATTTGGTCTCTTATTTGAACAATTCAAACTAAACTCTAGGTATTGAAACCTTTTATTTATAATAATGAAAATTTATTTATTATAGGTAGTTAAATATAATTTTCAAGTCATTTTATTATACAATTTTACAATTTATTGTATAGTGATATAGGAATATAAAATTTTCTTTGGCATATTATCAAGTTTTTATTTCAATATCTCAAATTATAATTTATTTATTTTTTTTGCAAAAAAATTCTTATAACCTCTAGAAAAATACTACTCTATTATAAATAAAATTAATTTTACAAGTTGATAAAATATGTTAGCCAATTATTGCAATACAATATCTTGGCTATTAGTCTAAAAAATCTTATTGATAGACAATGAGATTTAGGTAATTTGATTCAAAATTCTAAAATATCAAATAAAATTTTATTGTTATTAAAGTAAAAGGTTAAAATTTGAAAAGAAAATTTAATACATTCCTAATACATGGGCGAAGTAGTAGCTCGAAAATCTTCGATGCAGCAAGAACGAGATAACGTGACATACACATAAAAAAAAGTTTTGTCATTCATCTTGGCAATATAAAACTTCTCAATATCTCCATTTTTTATGGACCTTTAAACAATTAATAAAAATAATATTTAAATATATTTATAACTAGAATTATTATATTTCTTTGCTAAGGGATATGAAAAATTTTAAAAGTATTAGTAGACAACGTGGACGCTGGACCACGCATGTAGGAAGGTAACAAAATACACAGGTGAGAGAACTGAAATGGGAAAAAAAAATAAAAATAAAAAATGCGATGAATATTTCATCTATAAAATCACTCAACTATGAATTATTATTTTTATAACCACAATGTTACTAATCCTAGATGATATCGATATTTTTGTTCCCATTGAATATGTATGTGATTATATACCGTACTACTTTTGCACAGATATATTTACAAAATAACAATTCAATAAGTAAAGTTGTTTATATTTGCCCAGATATATATATTAACATAAGCACAAACAAATTGGTTACACCAATGAAGGTAAACATGCTAGAAGAGCATAAATAAATAAATAATAACACCACTGGATATGATCAAATTTAAAGAATAAAGTTTCCATTTTCAACTACAACAAGCTCCTCCTTGAGAAGCAGCTCCATCTCGTCCGCCTGATGGCCCAGGAATCCCTCCATACCCAACTTTTATTCCATACGACTGTAACGAGTAACAAGAAAAGTTATACTCTTTAGGTGAGGGAATAGATACACCATTGATGAAGCCAAGCATTTAGCCTTTTGGCAACTTCGTTTCTTTAGAGACTATATATGAAGATTTGCAGTCCACACCGAAACAAATTAAGTAGAATATACATAAATAGTCAGGATAAGGTATACCTCGTTTGATACATCAAACACTCCATCCTGTATTTTCTTATAGATTGTGGAAGCTGTTTTGATAAAAGCCTAAAGAAGTACAATGAATTACTTTGAGATATCCATTGTATAATATAAAAGCTCTACTAGCACGTTAAATGATTTTTTACCTCTTCAACATTCTGAGCTGTTTTAGCAGAGGCCTCCATAAATATCAACCCATTTTCCTTGGCAAACTGTTCGCCTTCCTCTGTGCTTACAGCTCTTCTGTGAGCAAGATCACACTTGTTTCCAATCAGCATTATACTCATGTTTGCATTTGCGTGCTGCCTTGCATCTTCCAGCCAACTAGCAAGGTGATTAAATGTTTCCCTCCTATAATTTCCGGAGTAAAGAAACACAACAATCCAGGGAAATGTAGTTAGAGTGACCACAGAAATCGTAGATTCCTATAATATTTGCTATTTATCCATAATGAAAGCAAAGAGGCAGCAACAAAAATATGTAAGACCTTATTTCCATTTGAAGTTTAATTTGGGGGTGGGAAACCATCAATTCAGCACAAGGCACAAGCACAACGATACAGTCAATATATTATTGTCCACATTCGAATTCATGGATCCCTTATCAAATTAAATTTGGAAGACCATATATTTGTTCATTTATGTCAAGAGAGAGATTTATGAACCAAAATAACAGAGTGCTCACTAGCATTAAAGAAACTTCTGTAGTTCCTCTCTAACAGTAAAAGACAAATGGCATTAGATATCATTTTACAAGAGCACAATGTAATGTTCTACAATTAATTAAATTGAAGATCACAATGTATACTACAGATGCAGCCAAAAGTCTGATATATAGATAATTATGTCTGGGTGATTAAGATTATGTGAGGAATATTTCTAGAGCTTTGATCCAAGTAAAAAGCTAAGACAAGAAGTATGTCTTGTGTAAGAATGAGAGCAAGTTTGTGCTTACTAACTTCGGTTTCATGCATAAAGAATGTCAAAAACATAATGCAGGATAATACCTGGTAATATCGTAAACAAGTAGTGCCCCGGCAGCACCTCTGTAGTATGACCTCGTGATGGATCTGAATGATTCTTGGCCAGCCTGAAAAGGGAGATCATTCATTATAATCATGCTGGCAGCCATTTAATGACAGCACAAGCAAATAATAACGAGAACAGTAAGAAAATTATTCTGCTGCCTAGAAAAGAATTTAAGGCATTTACAAAGATTATCTTAAGTTCCAAATGAAAAAAAGAAAAAGAAAAAAATGATCAGCAAAGTTGAGATTAATGATCGCATCTTTTTTAGAAATTTGGCATATATCGAAGCAGAAAAAGAAAGAAAAGATGTGAAACAAACCGTGTCCCAGATCTGTAGTTTTATTGGTTTGTTGTCTATTGTGATCATTCTAGCCCCAAATTCAACCCCAATGGTCAAGTCATGGACCGGTTGAAATCGTTTGTCCGTAAATTGCAGGAGAAGACAGGATTTTCCGACTCCTGCGCAACAAAAATGTTAGAGATGATGTTTTATATAAGGCTTCAGCAATGTATACATCAACATTGGAAATATTCCATCGAAGCCAATGAACTATATGAAAATGCTAGGGCAAAGTGCACTCGTATGAGGAATCACTCAGCAAAGTTGTCATTGCATATACAAGGAACAACCAAGAGTTTACGACATCATCACAACTCACAAGGATTTCGAAGTTTTGAGTGCCCCTAAAGCAATAAGAGGGTAGATTCCTATAACGATATGTTCGTGAGACACATGATTCTCACCATAAGCCATATGTAATTCATCTCTTAAATCATATGCTTATTATTACGAGCATTCAGAGTTTTAATCAACAACCACTTCATCATACACAAAAAAAAAAACAGACATATATCTCAGAAATATTTTCCAACTACTGTTTTATCATTATCAAATTACTTACTTTATCAATTTTTCAAAGGGCTTCTCTTTCAGAAAATACATCGATTTTACAAGTCAACGGAGCAGCATTGGTATAGTTCTAAGAGAAAGTGTTTGGCTTTTTCAACTGGTGGAATATAAAAGAAAAAAAGAGACTTCAAATCATCAAACCAAACATACTTCAAATCCAACTGAATTGGATCATACAAACATTCTCTAACTGCTGAAACTCCAATTTATTTACTAAAAACTTAACGAACCGTATTTTTATGACCTAAATCATCAAATTTAGCCTAACAAAATCCTTCTCATTGGAAAAAAAAAATCAATTATCAAACTCCATGGATATATCACCAACCATAATTAAAATATCAAATACAACAGAAATAACACAAAATTCAAAAAACAATTGAAATGCTACAATTCTCATAATAGCATGAATTCAATCATATGCAAAATCATTACAACAACCTCCATTGAAATTGAACCTTCCCGATCATTCCAGATCCATAAAAATCAAAACGAGAACATTATAAACAGGTGCAAAAAGGAAATCATTAGATTTACAAATCAAATTAACGATAAAATCAATCACAATTGAAAAATTACCTGTATCTCCGATGATGATATACTTGAAAAGATAAGCGTACGACATGATTGATGAGATCTGAAAAGAGAACACGTAAATGAGCTGGAGAATTTGATTGCTTGTATATATAGGAATTTTCTGGTAATTTAATAGGAAGTTTCAGAAGAAGATGGAGAGGAGAGAGAGAGGGATTGGCTCTGTAAATATTCAAAAACCTCTCTTTTTCTTTTCTCCAGACATCACCAGAAAGATAAAAGGAACAAGGTAAAAAAAAGGGCCAAGAGTGTCTTTTCTCAATTATGAAATTACTATTAGATACAAATACAAATAGGAGAGAGAGGAGAGGAGAGGAGCGAGCGGGAGCGAGAAGTGTGTATCTCAAAGGTATACGAATCACATTAAATATATGCATATGGGATACTAGATACTTCTGATATACATATAGATAGATATGAAGAGAGGCGAGCGAGAGAATCGTATACATATAAATTCATTTGGATATAGTGTATCAGGAATAAATTGTACCTAATTTTGACATCATGTATCCGAGATACATCTATCTAGACACGCTACATACATGTATCTAGGGACCGAAATCTGGCAAAAAGGTAATTTTGAAAATTCACGAAAAGGCATGTATTAGGTCCTAAACGAGTGGAATTTATGTTGTTTGCACTTACTTTTTTCAATTTTGAAAGATAGAATGATCCTATGTATGTCTTTATTGTTAGTGGCACAACTCAAATTTGCCTCTTAATTATAGAAAATATAATAAATTTGTGGTGCTAAGCTTTCGTCATTTGAAAATAAGGGTAACTATAGATTATTTTAGTAACGTCGAGACTCAAAAGGCTATTTGTCCTCAATTATTAATCGAACGAAAATCTATTTCATTCCTTAGCTCATTGGATCATTCACCAAAACATTCTCATGATATATAAAGCTTTGATGATTGCTATTATTCAAATACTTTTGAGAGCAATGAATAGTATTACATTACACATTATACAAGTAACAATAAACATAGAAATGAATGTTATCTAACATTCTTAGTAACTTTCACTACAATGGGACTTCTAACATAGTGCTTGTTATCAGACCATATTAAATGGCCAAAAACATAATCTTTTGGAGCTTTATGTCCTTTAACTTTCAGAGTGATCTTGAAACTTTTCTCCTCTCCAATCTTCTTGAACTCCAATGTGTTTGGCTCAACAACAACAGTAATTCCAATCGGGGATCGAATATGAGCTTTGTAAGTGCCCGGGGACCCCACATTCTTCAATGTTCTAGTCACAACGATCGAGCCATTGAGCTTGGGCACTGTGATTGAAGGTAAGTTCAAATTGCTGAAACTTATAGGGTCAGGACATTTGAAGTGGCCTTGTGTGAAGAAACTGATTTTAGTTTCGTTGTACCCTTGTGCACAGAGGAAGTTCATGTAATCATTGATTGTTAAGTCATAAACCAAGCCAGGGTCCATGGCGCGGTTTGGCCATATGTGTCCTGATCCATAAGCAAATGGTGATGCCTTGAGGTGAGCTGAATTTGTCATTGGATTAATCGTGTTGTCTCGCGTTCTTGCTGCACCAGAAGAAGAGTAAACAAGGCATCATAATCATATAAAAGTTTGCTTATAACTCATTTAGTTCTTATTTTTGAAGCCTAATTTGATTAAGACTTCAAGAAAAGTTGCATTCATATGCATGATCGAAAAGGTTGTTAAGTCCTACCGGATGTCATAATGGCGGATTTGATGGCTGCAGGACTCCAAGTTGGATGGAGGGTCTTCAAAAGACCAACAACACCAGCCACATGAGGACATGACATTGAAGTTCCTGTCATTGTGTTAAATTTAACTCGACGATTATCTAAATCTGTTTCTGTAGGTCCTTGAACTCCAGTATAAGCAGCTAGTATGCTCACTCCCGGGGCAGTAATATCTGGCTGCAAAGATAATATCGTATAAATACTTGTAAAAATGAAATCCTTTTGGTTAATAGACTTGAAATTTAACAATCTCGAAATGGTAAAAGACCTTAAGAATCTCTGGTGTCACCCTATTAGGTCCAATGGACGAAAAGACAGCCATAACTGGCGCTGGTTTCGTTCCCAATTCAGTTGTTGGCCGAGTAATGTAAGCTGTAGCTTTCCTGCTCAAACCAACAACGACGTTTAACAAGAAAATTAAACAGAAATAGAATGGGAATACAGAGGATTCTTCTTGTTATAGCTATGTATACTAAATCATTTAATTTGCTGTACTGTGACAATGCTAGATTTCGTAGACTCTTTGTTATACCTTGTTGAATTAACATAAGACGAGACTTGAAGTCCATCGGAGTAACTGATATGCGTTGCAGGGCAGAGATAAGGTTCAGCATACATTTCATTTCCAAAGAACACGCTGTTGAGTATAACGATACCAACTGCACCTACTGAAGTAGCTTGAGTGCACTGGTTAAACACTGGACTACCCCCTCTATGGCAAACCAAAATAGTCCCCTTCACCTTCTTAGGATCCAATGTCCCCTCTATGCAAAAATTACTGCAGAAGCACATAAAAAGGTTTAGCAAAGTTAGATTAGTTTGTACATTAAGCAGTAGGGAAGAGAGGTAATACTCACGCTTCTTGAGCTGTCGCATTGGCAACTTTAGCAGATGCACCAGTAATAATTGGGAACGATTTGCCTTCGGGCAGAGCTTTAGTTGAAAGGCTTACCCCCTAAAAAACAAAAAATCCGAAAACTAATGAGAATTGACGCTTCCTAACTCTCCACAAAGAGGTATAGAGAAGTAATTTTACAAAGAATGGACGTTGTTGTTACAGGTAAAATATTGTTATAGAGAAGTAAAGTATGGCATAAAAAGTTGATGGTTATGATGAAATAATGTTAGATAAGGTGATTGTTATAGAGAGGTCTGACTGTATCGTTTTGCAGACAAAAAGAATAGTGGACAAGAGAAACATACTCTGTAACGTTTATTGTTTCCTAAGATGATATAGCTGGAAAACTCGCGATCAATAGTGCTTGCCCCGACAGTAATGAGCCAAGGTGCAGTGTTGGTTATTGTACCAGGATAAGCACCCGAATTCCCACCTGAGGTAACCACAACAATGCCATGCTTTATAGCATGAAACGAACCGATAGCAATACTGTCTTGGGCATATGGTACAGGTGGTCCTCCCATTGATACTGAAAGCACGTCAACGCCATCATGAATTGCCATATCAAATGCAGCCAAGACATCTGCATCAGTACACGAATCGGATGGAATAATAGGAGGCCAACAAGCCTTATAAGCCGCAACTCGTGCTCTTGGTGATCCTCCCTTTGCTGTGCCATTGCCATACCCGAAAATGTTAGCTCCCTCGACAAAATTACCTCCGGCTGTAGACAACGTGTGTGATCCGTGCCCTAACGTGTCTCGTGGCGTGTAGAATTTGGAGGTTACTAGAGTTCCTGCTTCAGCAGCGAATCCTTTGATGAAGTATCTTGCTCCAATTAACTTCCTTCAATATTTAAAGAAAAACTCCATAGGTCAAAAGTCATCTTGATGTTACACTAACATAAACATGTTACATGTATATATCATACTTCATTTGTTCCAATTTATGTGACGAACTTTCCTTTTCGCAACGTTCCAAGAATTTTAAATTCATTATACTACTAAAGTATTAAACTTGGATGTGAGTTTTCATCTACTAAACTAACTTTTCGTCTGCCCCTCTATTCAAATGTTGCCCTTTTAGTTTCATACTCAATTTTTGTTGTCCTTTTGAAAATTTTGCTCAATTTTTCTATCTTTTTGGCTCCGGACTCATTTTCATCTACCAAACTAACTTTTGAACATTACTTTAATATTAAAGAGAAAGTACCTATTGCAATGAAATGTGGGATCAGAGCCAGTTTGGCAAGTTCCTTTCCACCTTGATGGAATTGGTCCCATTCCTTCATCACTAAAGCTTTCTGATTCTGGCCAAACACCTGCCTCCAATCACATGAATAAGAACGGATTGTTCGGATAATAAGCATCCTTCACTTTTAAGTCTGAGATTGTGAGTTAAGTTATTAAGGGAGCGAAAAGATGGGGCACTCTCAAAGAGAAGAGAGAAGTTTAAAAAAAATGCACACCTAAATATCTTATTGACCTGGTAAACACCCTAACTTTGAGTATGTATGGATTGTAACATCCGACAATTTAAAAATGAATATGAAGAAGCTTGAAATTTGGAAATAGTCATTTTTGGAAAAATTTAAAATCTGGAAAATTTGGCTAAGTGTGGAAATCAGTGAGTTTTTGGCCAACTTTGAGCAGTCATAACTCCTAGCTCAGGATGAGTTAGGAGTAGTTCCAGTTATGGTTTCGAAGCTTGTGGAACGATCTTTCCAACGCCACTGAGTTTGCTCAATTCCGAGTTCGTATGAGCGAGTTATGATCTTTGAAAGTTGGGCAGTTGGCAGGGATTCCGTTCCGGAAATTTAAGGGCATTTTGGTCTTTTCACAAATAATTTCTTTTGAGCTTATATTGTTGTATTAGGCTGATATTTGGATCATTTTGTCCCATTTTGAAAGAGAAAGAGTTAGGGTTCAAGAGAAGAAGAAGAGAAGAAGGAGAAGAAGAAGAGAAGAAAGAGGAGATCAACAAGATTTGTCAAGATCATTGTGGATTTTCGTCGGGGGTGATCCCTATCAAGGTATGTGAGTCTTTAGTGTGGGTTTATCCTTTCCCCCCACATACCAAGCTCGTTTTTATGATTTGAGAAGAGATTGGATTTGTTGTTGAAGTTGTTGAAGTTGTTGAAGTTGTTAGTTGTTGTTGATGTTGTTAGTTGTGTTGTTGAAGTTATTGTTGGTTGTGGGACAGGATTGGGCTGTGTATTTGAGTTGTGACCTATTGTATATTGAGGGATTTTATGATCCTTAGTGTTGGTTGGTTCATACCCCCACACACCAACTCGTTTTTAATTCCAAGAGAAGATTTATTGGTTGTTGAAGTTGTAGTGGTGTTGTGTTGAAGTTCTTGCTGATTTAGTACAGATTTCTGGCTGTGATTTTTTGAGTTGAATCTATTGTATAATAAGGGTCTTTATGATTCTAAGTGTTGCTGCTGAAACCTTGAGGTTGAGAGGGTTTAGAATTGGAAAGAAACAAGGGGAAAAAGTCGGATTTTTGGGGAAAAAGGGGCTGGGCTGTTGCACCTCTCCTAGTGCCAAGGACACCAATCCTTCCCTTTCATTCACCATTTCTTTTTTTATACATGTTCCTAGGTATTATACCTATGTTTCCTAGTTGTTTCCAACACTCCAAGGTACTTCCAAAAGTCAAGTAAAACTACAAGTCAAGTGAAGTTAGTTTCCAAGTCAAGTGAAGTTAGTTTCCAATTCAAGTGAAGTTAGTTTCCAAGTCAAGTGAAGTCAAGCTTAGAAGTAAGTAAGTCAAAGCAAGTCTTTAAGGTTTTCCAAGAGTCTTCATTGAGCGTTTTAACTTCATTCTAAGGCTCAAGTTCCAAGTTAAGTATTGAGTTTCAAGTCAAGTCAAAAGTTAAGAGTTTCATGTTAAGTTAAGAGTTTCACATCAAGCCAAGAGTTCAAGTAAAGTAAAGAGTTTAAAGTTGAGTTCTTTTCTCAAAGTTATTAGGGAACTATGTATTCCCAAAGAAGTTTTAAAGAAATGTTTTTACATTTAAACAAGGTTGGAAACTGAGATTTCCAAAAAGCCTTCGGGCTAGTTTTTGAGTAATTATCTCATATCAGCAGGAAGAAATATGTTTTAAAAACATAAGAGCCAGTACATTTTTGGGAGTAGTATCGAGCACCGAATTGGGGGAGCGTTCAAAGAACCCACAACCCCCATAGAACCATGTTAGTCACCATGGGTAGAAAAAGATCATACTTTTTAGATGAATCCTTTTCAGATTAGACTAGTGGATCCATTAGGCAGTTCAGGTCTTATACCTTTGGCCGGGTATAAGATGCTCTGGCAGCGTGAGGTCGATCGCTGTATCATCACTATAGCTCTTATGTGATGGTTGTCGGTTAGAGAAACTCCCACAGCAGTTATTGTATTTTTCATACACAGAGATTATTGTATTTTTTATATACATCAGTTCATTGTATTTTTATACACATTTCAGGCTTATTGTATCCTTGTATACACACAGAGTTCATAGCATGTTTTAAGCAATCTTTCTTTATATCGCACTTGTTTTAAATTGCCTTATATTGAAAGAAGTCAGTCAGGTTGAGTTAAGTTGAGCCAGGTAAGCTATTCAGTTTCTTCCAGTTTTCCTTCTAGCCTTTGTTGCTTAGTTTTCCAGCTTGCATACTCGTACATTCCATGTACTGATGCCAGTTGGCCTGCATCGTTTGATGATGCAGATTCAGGTACCCCGGATCAGCATCCTGCACGTCGTTGATCCAGCTGAGCACTCCAGAGTCAGTGGTGAGCCTCCTTGCATTCCGGAGGACTCAATTATTTTGTGTTCTTAGTTTTTGTTTTATTAGGATGTTGCGGGGTCTGTCCCAACATCCATCTCAGTATTTTAGAGGCTTCATAGACAGACAGTCAGTCAGTTAGTTTTGAGTCTCTCATCTATATATATGTAAATATTCTATTTTGATATTCGAGTTGCCTTTATGGCCATATTTTATAAGTTAAGTTGTTTTGTAATATTGCATTGCATTGAGTTATTCTGTTGAGGTTTCCGCTGAGTTAAGAAAGTCAGGCCAAGGGTTCGCTTGGGGCTAGAAATGGTCTCCGGGTGCCGGTCCCGCCCAGGGTGTAGGCTCGGGGCGTGACATGGATTGTGTGATGTAGCATTGATCAATGAAATGGATGATCATCAATTAAGATTAGCATTTCAAATTTCATATATCTTTTTATTTAAGGTCATGTCATCGTTAAACTGAAGTTATGTCATATTATGTCCAATCACATCTTCTTAATATTTATTCGATCTACCTCTGTCTCTCCTCATACCCCTACATCTAGTCTCTCACACCTACTTACTAGTGCATTTACACATCTGCTTTTCATATGTCTAAATCATCTCATCTTATCTACCGGTCATTTCTTAATAATATTCAGAACTTTTTTTGAATACTCACAATCTAATTCTCCATATTATTTGATCCATTGGTGAAAGCTATGTAAAAGTGGGCCCATGATTGATGGGATTGGCCAACTTGGGAGAATAATGAGATCTTGATACATAAAATATTTAAATATATAGATTTTTAAATTATTTATTTAAATATATAGTGAATTGTCAAGTAGACACACACTAAGCTTCCCAAAAAGTGATAGTTAAATATTACAATTTGTGTAATTTAAAAAAGAAAAAAGAATCTTTACTCTATCAAGTCACTGAACCACGTGCAATTTATTACTACCCTCTTCATTTTACTATAATAAATTGCAAAAAATATTTATACAAATGTGCTTAAGAAGCAAAAAAGATGGATTTGATTTAATTACAAAGAATTTTAGAAAATTAATTAAAATATACTAAATTATTGCAAAAGAATTCAACTAAAATACACTAATTGAGGCATATATTTGGGCAATCAAATTACTCTATAACATTTATCCTCTATAACAATATTTCACTATAATTATCAAATTTTTGTTCGAACCATTTTTTATATTATATTATAATATTATATGTTTTCTATAACAGAATATCTCTATAACAATCCAAAAAATATCAGGACAAACAAAATTATTATAAAGATGTTTGACTTATACAAAAAAATTCTAATATGCTTTTCTTTTTATTAAATTTTATACGATGTGAAGTTAGATTAATCATACAAGTTCATACCAGAATCAATGTTGCCAATAATAATGTCTTCTCCAAATCTTGCCTTCTTCCATAAAGAGCTTTTAGGGATTTTTCCCTCATGTTCCAACCCCAAGAAGTTCCATGATCTAGTTGTGTGTAGTTCTTTTCCCTTGTTCAAGAATATTGATACTACATTTGGATGCTCTGCAAAAAAAAAATCACATTAAAGAATTTAATTTGTTGATTATTACTTAAAACATTTTGATTAATTAATGATATTTAAATCTCATTAGTAAAGAGGATTCCAAATATCACATATTGATTAACATTGATTAATTAAAGAGAGATATACTATAAGAAGGATTTGTTGATTAAACTCATTAACTTAATTATTGCTTTTCACTCGAATTACATATACATATAAAAAAAAAACTTAAAATGTATATGTATAATCTGTGTCATAATCAGGGATATATTTTGCTAAAGATGTTTAAGAAAATATACTCATACTTGACCTATATATGGATATTCAACTCAATAGCAAATGCAGGTCGCGAATACATCCTAAATCCTATATATATATAAAATTTCACTGAATACTACATTTGATTCATGCAATGAATTGAATATTAAAAACCTTTAAAAGGTCAAACTCATCAAATTTTAAATTTTGAATTTGTCTCTTATTCAACTAACCACACATCTATATAGTAAGATTATGTTCATTCTTGTCTCACTAACTTTAAAATATTCTAGATTCACCTCGGACACAGTAAATAATGTGTACCAAAGTAAAAAAACAATTAAAAATGCAGTAAATGGAAAATAAAAAAATTTCACTTACTAGATAATTCTGCAGCTTCTTCATCTTCAAGGATTGCAGCAAAGCCATTGATGTGTCTTGTATAAGAATAAAAAATTGCATCCTTAGCCTTCTCAATACTGTTAATATTACCAAAAATAAAATTAGGAAAAAAACGAATAATTTTTTTAATTTCATTTAATCAAAATATATATATATACTAAGGTTTTAATTCAATTAATTACCTTCCTAAATGTGATCCAAGAAATTCATGATGAAAATTAATAACTCTATCAAAATCAATTGATGTTGCTTCTTTTCCATGTGAATGTTCACCCAAGTACACAACATATGACTATATAAACACAAAAAATACTTTCATTACTTCGAAATTTCAATGAAATTTTGATCGATAGTTCATCGAAAAATGATAATAAAAAAAGGTACAATTTATAAAGAGAATCAAAAGGGAAGTATTTACCTTTTTTATGGCAAATGTTGGTCTAAGCAATAGAGTAAAAAAAATTGAAAGAAGAAAATATATTGAATTTTTCATATTTTCTTGAAAAAAATCAGAGATCTCCTCTTCTGCTAAATAAAGTTTCTATAATATAAGGAATCTTATTGGTTGAGTTATTGACCATATATAGACTGATTATTTTTTATAAAAAAAATTGTAGATCTTTATCTTTATTTAGAAGATTCATTGACTTTAGAAATAATTTTATTAAAAACTGTACATATTATATTTTTAATTATTTGTGGGGGATGAATCGAATTATTGCATGTTATATGAATGTAATGATGTATTGACTTTATTTAAATTATATAATTTTTAAAAATGATTAACCAATGTATTATTGGTAATTTTATGTTTTTTTTATTTGTTTAGATATTTTGAAATTTCCCTCTGAATATATTTTTAAAAATGTTAAAAATTAGAATATGACTAAATTCCTTTTTTTCATGGGACCACTATATGAAGGAACTATCAAATAAAAAGTAGTAATAGAATGGCCCCTGACTGTTTTATAATTATATGGTACTTTTTTTATTGACTATTAAAAATAGTAGTAATTTGGAATATTAGTTTGCCATAAAAATTAATGTCGAAAACAATTTCTTTATTTTCACACGATAGAAATAAAATTACATATGTATCATTTCTCTCAAATATTAGGTCGCCATAAAAACTAATACTGAAAACAACAGAGATAAAATTACATACAATATTTATTTTAAATTTTATTCATGAAATTATATTAAATATATTATTATCATTATTATCTTATCTTAGTTTCATAGAAAAGGACAAAGCAATATATTAAAGTAGCAAATAATTCCATCCATGTGCTATGCAGTATTCAAAAGTAGTTTTAGATTAGAGAGAAATAGAAATATTCACTAAAGACGATGAAACAAAGAAATCTAAAAAAGTAAAAAGTGGATAACACTTTTGGTTCCTCTATTATTGGTATATATATCCTTATGTTTTTATATAAAATGGTAGAAAAAGAATTATTATAGTAGTGACTGAACTATTAGAATAATGATCATTATCAAAATTTAGATTAATTCTTCAATAGTTTAATCAATTTTAAAATTTTGAAATAATAAAGTCTAGCTATAGAAAATTAAAATCATATCAAATATTTTTAATATTTAAAGTAATATATTTCTAAAAGTTCTAAAACTAAGTGATAATATTTTAGTGAAATCTTCTAAAATCTAATGGTAAAAGAATTGAGTCTAGTGTTGTTTACATCTCCTGTATAGTTCGTAGGCTATTATACAATGAAGGATTTACCCAATATGCATAAAGTGCTCACCATGGAGTGCAAATCCGAAGGGCAAAGGTTGTGACAGAGATTGTAGCGGCTCCAGGTTATTCCGAAGTTAAAAAAAAATGAGTTAAACTCAAATTTATGACTCATTAATGCCGCTTTAGCTTAAACTCGAGCAGTTTCTTAAAAAATTGCAGTATTAAGAGATGCTCTTGTTATTCCCAATAAGACGACACACCAACTAGGATTGTGATAGAGTGATAAATAGTATTTTACTCTTAATCAAAGGTAGCAGAGATTCCTTCTTTGGATACGAAGTCACAATTATTTCATTAGGAAATGTCTTACTCCTAATAAATGAAAATTTCTAACACAAAAACGATCATTTAGACACCAACTAATCTGGTGAAATTTTCTAACAATTACATTAATATAGAAATGCAGCTGCTAGTTTTAAGGAGCCCGTTGACATAATTTGCCTAAACTTGCGACATGAACTACGCATTGGTTGTTAGGGAGAAAAAAAATATTAAAAAAGACGTAGCATGATTTATATATATATGTATTCTTAACATTTAATGGTTGATTTAAATATACTCTTAATTTAACTAATGTAGATTTGATTTTGTAATCTTTTACAAATTTATTTTTAGTTTTATATCCTTCATAGAAGAAATTTTTATTTTTACGTAAAGGAAAAAAAGGCAAGAAAACCTCTTAACTTTGATATTTAGAATAAATATACTCCTTGTTAAGAAAAATAATGTATATATATTATCGTCATCTAACGATTGATATATTTTTACAATCTTCATTAACAAACAGAATTAAGTATTTTAGAATAAATATACTCCTTGTTAAGTAATTTTTGAGGCGTTAGAGTTGGGGGTGGGGGTGGAGGTGGGGGTGGGCAGGTTAAATTTAAAAAGTTCTAAGTATTTTATTTGTGTGGATGGGGTGAGGTGGGGGGTGGGGGTGAGGGGTGAAGAGTATTTTTTGCTTTTGAAGCTTTTAATAATTAACATGATCCCTGTAATAATATGGGTAAATATGGAGACCCATATTATCCATTGGGTAACTCATTTTTACCCATTTAAAATATGAGTCAAGTAGAGTATTTATCCATTTTTATTTAACTCGTTTTTTATCGACTCATATTCGACTTGACCCACTCGTTTGCCACTCCTAACTACAACCTACATGGAGAGGACTATTTGTCTTCGTACTAAATCAATAGAAATTTTCAAGACACATGTTGCAACTATCCATTCCTTTAATGATATTCTCCACTTTGAGCTATTTGGTAAGGTCTGCTTATTTATATACTCAACATTTCTTATATGTATTAGGATGTCACATATTCGTTCTCCATGGACTCAACATCCTCGTTGAGATTTGCCCCCACCGCATGTGATTTGCCTAAACTCAGCACTGAGGTTTGTCCCATCTTATCGGGATTTGTGTAAATTCATTGAAATCTAGCCTATATCGACAGAGTCGGCATATGCGTGGCTCTGATAGGCCCATTCCGCTAGTGGGGCTAGGTCTGCACGCCTTTTAAACACGTCGCTAGTTAGTAATGTCTACTTACTTATATACTCGACATCTCTCTTAGCCGATATGAAACTTCTTATCTTAAGTTGAGGTTTCACACATATAATGTCAATGATATGTTGGAGCAAATTGTATTGCCACCAAATGTTAAAAGACCGCTAGGAAGCCCAAGTCGGAAAAGGAAAATCCAAGTATGGTAAAAAAAAAAAAAAAAACTCAGAGCTAATACAACAAATATTAGATTAATTTAATATTTTGTTGAACTTTATAATCATGAACCATTAAAAGATTTTCTTTTATACATTCAAATTTTGAAAAATGAAATAATTTTAATTATTTAATAATTATATGTGAATATAATAGCTAAATAATTATATGTACATATTCAGATTCAAACGTCTAAATCTTAATGCATATCTTAATTAATATTCATATATGTATTTAAATTTAGTATTATTAATCTTAATTAAAATAAATGAGACCTAATTATATTTATTATCATTATCTTCTAAATGATATATATTAATGATTAATGCCCATGAAAGGATCCGTCAAACGCCCCCAATCAAGGCTGGATTTGTCCCATGCAGTGGCTTTGGCCTTGTCAAAAGTCATGCTAATAAGTAGTAGCACCAAAATAAATTTGTAACACCAAATATATTTAAATTGAACTAGGGCAAATGGTCATTTTTTCTCGAACGATGCGAAATGAAATAAATTTGTCATTTATTAATAATTGAGGATATATTTATCTTTTGTGTTAGTTAAATAACTTAAATTTGCCACTATTTTCAAACAGCAGAACCTTAGCACTCGATAATGTCATGTATTCCG